ATGCTTCTGACGATATTAGTTCTCCGGTAAGTGCAAAGCTCTAGATAGCTGCCTTAGATTAAGGCAACTAAAAATTGGACACAACGTTCAAAAATCCTAGTAGTTTCAAAAATATGCTTGGCTGACATGCATGGGAAAAACCTGAAAACGAGCGAGAGCATAATCAAAATAAGGATGGGGTGTTTGAGCGGATAAATGAATGGTATGCTTTCATGCCTGACTTTCGCAACGATCACCCGCATATTTCAACACATTTGGCACGCGCTTGCGTATTTCAAAACAACTATTGCAGCAGCAGAGCGCATCCCACGCATCCCGTAGTGATCCCTTGCTCAAGCCACTGTCTCCGCGTCTTCTTGTCCTCATTATTGCACTGTCGCGTCTCTCAACGATAACAAACTGTTTTGCGACTGGCGTCTATTTTCAAAAAGATCTCGAAGCCATACTTGGGGGCAGACCAATCTAGCTGTCGTGTTTTTGTCCTAGTGATGATATGGGAAGTTTTATAATATGAGAGAATTTGTGTTTCAGAAGTTTAGAATAAGGTCGCTGAATCGTTCTCGAGAGTTCTTTCTGGTTTTTCAAATTATCATAAAGACTCACCTTTCCTAAGAATTGATTTTTTAGCATTTTTCTCGAAAATCATGAATTTTCGAAAAAGAGCTCGATTAGCACAAATATGAGAGTGCTTGCTCAGTTAGAAAGGGAAGGTCAGAAAACTAAAAATCGTGATTGTTTTGGATTTCGCTGCGCAGTTTTTGGATTTTTGACGGGCTTGTATTGCCGGGGTTCGAAAGATTTCCTTCTTCAATTTTTATCTCTGCAAATTGGACATAGTAGAAAGCCACTATTAAATATTAGGTTGGCACGAAAGTTCTTGCGTAATTCAAACAAAATTCAATAACTTTTCAAAGACTAAACCTAAATTCACAATCTTGTATGCCGAAAATATTAGAAGTCTCACGCTCCATGATCGAAGTTCAAGCACAACATTTCATGAGCTAGCCATCGAGAGCGAAGCTCTCTGAAGTGGGGCTTCAAAATTTGCGATTTTGAGTTTAGTGGCAGAAAATCGCAGAGGGCCGCTAGCTAGCCGAAAAAAATCTGTAGAATTCACTTACACAGCAAAAGTCCATACGTTATTTTTGCAAGCTTTGATCTCGCATGAAAATGCGAGAACAAAAAATTTGTGAAATTTCTCATTTCACAGGACAAATACCCTTATCGCTCTAATTTTTCCACAGAAACACAGTAAGCAACCAGAAATTGAGGCATAGTGCCTATTTAGAGCCTTGCGACGTTTTCTCGATTGTAAAAAAGTATTTTCGCCGGAAAACTGCGGACATGAGGGGATTTTTTCCGCAAAATGACATACTTCACGAATTTTTTGTTTTTGCTTCACCGTGCAAGATCAAAGCCTTTCAAAGTAACATATGGACTTTTGTTGTGTAAGTAAATTCTGCAGATTTTTTTCAGCTAACTAGCGGCACTCTGCGATTTTCTGGCACCAAACTCAAAATAGCAAAATTTAAAGCCCCATATTCGAGAGCTTCGTTCTTGACGTCCAGCTTACGGAATCTTATGCTCAAACATCCATCATGAAGCGTGAGGCTTCTAATATTTTTAGCATACAAGACTGTGAATTTTGGTTTAGTCTTTGAAAAGTTATTGAATTTTGTTTGAATTACGCAAGAACTTTCGTGCCAACCTAATATTTAGAAGGTGCATGCTTTACGCTTTTTGACAAAATTCAGTTCAAGCAGAATCGTTGTTATAGAAAGAAGTTACGACCCATGAAAATTCTGCGAATTTTCGGTTCAACCTTTTATATAGTTAGCTATGTCAACGTTCTAGGCATCGAGTATCTTCTATGATTATTGACAAGGCAGACCGAAAAACGCCAGAAGTTGCGAACTTTAAGTAAAATAATCAAAAAGGCAGAAGGCAGCACAAGCACTAGAATCATTTCTACGTGATAAAGTGCTGGTTTAACCTGAGTCCGCATATTCCTCAAAAGAAAGTAGAAACTCACTTCCTTTTTGCTTTTTGTGGAAGTAGATTATTCTGCCACATAGTTACGTGAATGCAAAGCAAACAAAATCATCATAATGGAATATCAATGGAACCAAACAGAAGGAAACTAGCAAAGATAAACATTTGGACTCAACTAGAGACAAAGACAGAATTGCTGTCTTTTCGAAAATGATTTTATCTTCTTTTCTTGCTCATAATCAACTTTCAATTGATCTCGGTTTGTTAGAAGCTTTTTTTCTGATTGCTATAGGTAAGTCTGTGATTGCTATTATATGTTTTTCGGTCTGACATTCCAACTTGTCCGTCTTCGTAGAGCCCTAAGATGAGAAATAGCTGAGATGTTTTACAAACCGTGGTGTCACTGCAGGACAAGCATGAAGCTGTCTGCTAGGAGAAATCATATACTGTTGCTCGATGCTGATATCATAAGCATTCAAAGTTGATGCCCGCACATGATGTAACATACTTTTATACGCAAAGTACCAGTGGTGGTCCGGATTTTCGGAACGAGGGGGGGGGGAGGGTGGGCGGCAAAAATTTTTTGGGGTGCTCCTCAAAATTTCCGAAGGCCCATAACCCCCTATCTAGAAAAGGGGGGCGTTGCTGAAGCCACGACCCGAAAAAAATTTTTTTCCAAGGTTAATTTGAACTTTGAAATAATTTTAAAAATCATTTTAATTATTTATAAGAATAAACAATCCATTTGCACATTTTCATAACCCATGTAAGGAAATTTCAAAAAATTTCGTGACCCGTTCGTTCTCAGGGTTGTTTCAGACTGCCGCACTGACCGCAGCAGACTGCAGCAGATTGCAGCAGACTGCAGCAGACCGCACTGACCGCAGCTGACTGCAGCAGACTGTAGCAGACTGCAGCTGATTGCACTAACCGCTAGCCACACTAGCAGAAAAACGACCGCCGAAGTTTGACTGGAATTAGAACCTATGATCTCCCTAGGCGTAAATCACGGTGTTTTGACGTAAGCACGGTTGTTTTCTTTTACAAAGAATGCAGCGATCGGCGCGGCCGTTGCGGTCAGTGCGGTCAGCAGCAGTCTGCTGCAGTCTGCCGCAGTCAGCTGCGGTCAGTGCGGACAGCTGCAGTCTGCTGCGGTCAGTGCGGCAGTCTGAAACAACCCTCAGGGGGGGGGGCGGCCTCCGCACCCCGCCTTCTCGGTCCGCCACTGCGAAATGCCTACCGGGCGATTGCGAGTCCGTCTCCATCGCATTATCAGAATTTTCATTTGCCATCTTACTAAAAGAAAGTATATATATTACATAATTTTTGCTTTGAATGCAGCTCACCTTTCTTTTTTTAGCTTACGTTTAGTCATGCTAAAATCGCTTGAAAACACATTTCACTGAAAAGAGCGGAATGAGACATAAAATTTAAGGCATATTCGGCACACATCATACTCCATCCAATTGATCCGCTTCATTCACTTCCCTACTGTCAAATCAGTGAAGTGACCGAAAGCGAATTGGGATCAAGTGGATGAAGGAGATCAAAGAGATCAAGTCTGACGCGTGCCTAAGGCTGTGTCCCTAGTTGCCCTTGTAATGAAGTGCGTTTCCGGCACAGACCTCCGACATAGGCCTCCAACCGCATGCAACTTCAACTCCTTCATCAGACAATCGCCGAGGGCAGGCGGGCGTTGGAAAATACGCATTACTCACATTTCGGCCGGGCCGGGTCCGAGACTGCTCCAGCGCTACGGACCACGCGCGGCGCGACTAAAATGTTGCGAGTGCACGGTTTGTACTATGGCGAATTTGTACTGGGGCAAGCGTTTTACCACGCGGCGCGTGCTCCGCTGCGTTTTCCAGTCCGTGCGGTCAACAAATCGACTATACATCCCCACTGGGGAGGGGATCTGAGAAATGGTGCATCATATCTCGTTACTCTAGATATGATGCACCAAAAATACAGGAATTCAATAAACACCTAATCACTCTCCCAGCTTCTCATATAAATTTGTTATGATTTTTTAAAGAAAATTGGCTTAATACCGGAAAATAGACTGCGACCCCTTTCACTCGATAGGAAAATCCTCTTTTTTCCTGGCAAACTGTATATTTCTTGAAAGCGGACGACGAGGGGATTCCAATAGAGTGCAAAGCACTCTTCTAGCTTTTCGTATAGTAAAGTTATGAATTTTTATTAAAAAAATCCTTAATTTTAGAAAAACAATTGCGACCACCTTCGCAATACAGGAAAATCCTTTCTTCCTTGGTAAGCTATATATTTTCTGGAAGCTTTCAACAAGAGTAATTCAATGTATGGCTAGAGACACTCTTATCTTCTCATATCAAAAATCTACAATTTTTTATAGAAAAATTCTACAATTTTGAAAAAATGACTAAAACGATTTCTATTTAGCAGGAAAAACCCCTCTTTTTCCTGGCAAGTTGTATTTTTCTGAAAGCGGATGGAAAGTAGACTTCTGAACTAGAGTAGGCTAATTATGGCTGAGTTCTCCTTCTGAGATCTTTCATATTTCTCACTCTTCTTCGATGGAAAACAAAATTTATTTCAGAATAATCACGCAGTGATCATAAAATTGTCTTTCTCTTCTTGTATAGTGCTCCAAAGTGGAAAAATGCATCTCTGGCTGCTTTCCTCATCCCTATCATCGTCCAAGTTGGCGGATTGTAGAACTCCACGATCCTCGTAGCCATAAAATTTTGACAGTAAGTCTAACTCGCAAATTTCAAATTTCTCACTTCTGATTTCAGGTGAGGGCGGCAAATGGGCAATCCTGCAGGATTTCAAGGTAATTGTGCTTTCTTCAATATTATCGGATGTAGAAAGAGTAGAGTATCTCTTGGGCGATACGAGATTCAACTTCCTCTAATTAATATCGAAATTCTGTTCTTTTATGCCGTGTTTCTATAAAGAAGCTTTTTCTGAATTCGATAGTAGTATTGCAGAGACGCTAGATGATAGTAAGGTGATTTTGTATTCGTTTATGATGACTCTGCAATAGCAAAGTCCTCTGCTAGGTTCGGATCATTCTCAACGTTCTCAGAAGAGAGATTTTCATCATCATCATCTGATGATGACTCTTCTGAGTCTGAGCACAGATTGTCTACTATGCTAGATGAAGCTTTGAAAGAAGATGTTAAGCAGAGACTTGTGGCTCATATAGAAAGCTCACAGTAGGTGAAACTTGATGCAAAAGAGTGATTCAGTTGATCCACGATTCAGTCAAAATTTTTGTGTTGAGGTCATTCCTGAGGTGTGAGCGAAATTGATGTATCATTAGCTCGCAGATACGTGTGGAGGTGGAGGCTTGCCATCTCAAAGCGGGACGATTTTTGATAGCGAGAAAGTACGAAAAGTAATGTTATAATGCGGAGTTTTAACAAGTTTATCCTTCAATCAGGAAAGGTTCACAACCCGCCTCCACAAGGATCTGGGAGCCGATCAAACATACTACGGCCAGACAACCGGGGATATAAGCGAACAGGACATATCAAAGGAACAAAGGAGATTCGCAGTTAACTTACCATCCATCCAAATATCTATGCGATGCTGAATAAGATACATGCAATTCACAAACATCGCATTAACAGCAAAAAATATCTGCTTGAAGCAATCCTGTATTTGAAAACAGCTTCTCATTGAAAAATCGGCACAAAAACAAAATTTTCGATGTTAGTCAGAAAGAAGTTGAAAGTCGCATTGCCTAAGAAACACTCTACTCTTTCTACATCCGACAATATTGAAGAAAGCACACTTATCTTGAAATCTGCAGGATTGCCCATTTGCCGCCCTCACCTGGAATCAAAAGTGAAAAATTTTGAAATTTGCGATCTAAAACGGCAGCGCACGGTATAAAGATTAACAAATCATCAAAAACCAGACGTGCGCGCAGCCAAAAACAAAAAAAAGCACCGGAATAAGAAAAACGGGCAAAATTTGGCGTCGAATTTCAGCCGTACGCGCACCTGGTGCAAGTACGGCACGGCGCGAATCCCGCACCTCATCCGGGATTTCAAAGTTGTGTGCAATAGCACGCACGACACCGAGGTGACTAGACGGATGACGTCTACTATAAAACCATCGTCTCCCTAATAAAATTCATTCAGCCTACAACGTCAATGCTCCGATCGGAATAAAAACCGAGGAAGTAGAAGAAATGCTGGAAAAAAATATGCCGATGACGTGGAAAAACGCTTTCATCGACGCATTTAAAAGATTTCCAAACCATTACTTTATATGGGGATACGTCGGGAACGACATCAAAGGTAGGAAATGCAGAACCTTTTCTCCTTCCATTGCACAGTCATAACAGTTACAAATTCAGCTTCTTTCAAATTATTTATTTACTAACAATCACAATGATTTTTGGAAGTTCGTATGATTTCTAGGATGATCAAAGGGTAGGAGACCTCACTATCTATATTTAACCTTATGTTCATCTTATAATAAAGCTAAGTTAGTAGTGAACCTGTCAACGCTCAGAGTTTTAGCTCAGATCTAACTCGGGGTTATGTGAGCTAAAGCGCATCTTTTAGAGGTCATTAAAAGTGCTTAGCTGCTCAAAAAGTCCGAGTCTGAAAACCGCTGACTTGGCTGGATACTCTCAAAAGGTAATTCGTACGTAGTTGGGAAATCTAGCATAAGTCATTCAAATAAGTATTACCAACAAACGCGCGGCTGAGCTCGCTATACTTCTAGTTTGGTGAGAAGCAGCCAAAAAAATTCTCAGAAGTATATTCTACTCGTAATATCAGCAAGCATGATGGATAACGTAGTGAACTGTTAGTTACAAATTTGAAATTTTGTGATTTTTGGGCTCACGAGGAAATGGTCAGAAGTCGAAGTGACCAATCCATACAAGCTGCATACCATACGATGCAGCACAAAACGCTGATTTCAAATCTGTCTTCCGTATCTGCAGAGCGCTTTTGTAAGCGAAGTTATGATCAGCTTTACTGCGAAAAAACCGAATACAAAAATTGCAAAATTAGGCGCATTACTGCTCTTTCAGCTCAACTATAGGTACGGGTCATATGAAGGGACCTAGTTGTATGTTTTGGTCCAACGCTGAGCCGAGAATGGCTTTGTGCGGCCAAGTTTGCACTTTATATGCACAATTTCTTAGCAAAATGATTGCCTTCAACGGCTTATAACTTCGTCCACAAAAGCGCTCTGCAGATAAGAAAGACATATTTTGTGTCAGCGTTTTATGCTGCATCTAATGGTATGCAGCTTGTTTGGATTGGCCACTTCGACTTCTGACCATTCCCTTGTCAGCAGGTAGTTCGCTGCGTTAAAACTGGAAAAAGTGAGACTAAGAAATTAACATTTTAAGCAAAACTATAAAACTATCCACATTATTAAAATCAAATTTAGTAATATTTTAATTCATAATACCATTAATGTGATCATCAAAAGCTATTTGCAGGTTCACTGAGAAGTACGTCGGAAACTTGCCGCCTATTGTTCACTTTTGGAGAGACGAAAAAGCCTGGAGAAAAATTTACGTGTGAAGCCTTTGTGTATATATGTCAACTAATTGACTTACCCGGCTCCGCCCGGATCGGTTTAGAAATGGAATTTTCTATTCGGAACATACGTACAGACAGACAAACAGACATTCAGCTTTATATATAAGATGAAGTTATTGCTCATGAATTTGCTGAAACATTAAGTGAAATAATAAATGAACCTTTGACGATCGGTGCGCAGTTGAATTGCATTCTTTTTAAGAGGTATAAATTTTCTAAGCAGATGGCGGAATCCGTGTAAAGTCATTGAATGATTCCTCAAAGAGTCATTGTTCCAACTTTTGATATTATTTCTAAACTCCGACAGAGATCGTAACATTTGCGTAGAGAAACAGGTGCAACAGAAGCACCTATTACATCCAAGACTTTGTGTAATCAGAGTTAGTCTTACTGTCAAAATGCTATAGCTACGAGGATCGTGGAGTTCTGCAATCCGCCTACTTGGACGATGATAAGGACGAAGAAGGACAGGCAGAGATGCATTTTTCTACGTTGGAGCACTATACAAGAGGAGAAGGACAATCGTATATGATCATTGCGTGATTATTCTGAAAAAAATATTGTTTTCTGTCGAAGAAGATTGAGAAATATAAAAGATCTTAGGAGGAAAACTCAGTCATAAATAGCCTAGTCTAGTGTAGAAGTCTACTTTTCCATCCGCTTTCAGAAAACACAGCTTGCCAGGAGAAAGTTGGATTCAATCCTGCCAGGAAGAGATAGTTTTAGTCATTGTTTCAAAATTGTAGAATTTTTCTATAAAAAATGGTAACTTTCTCATATAAGAAGATAGGAGAGTCTCTAACCATACATTGAATTACTCTTGTTGAGAGCTTTCAAAAAATATATAGTTTGCCAGGATACAAAGGATTTTCCTGTAAGGTGAAGGTGATCATATTTGTTTTTCTAAAATCAAGGAAATTTTTATATAAACATTTATAACTTTACCATATGAAAAGCTAGAAGAGTCCTTTACACTCTGCTGGAATCCCCTCGCCGTCAGCTTTCAGAAAATATACAGCTTGCCAGGAAAAAGGAAGGTTTTCCGATCGGGTGAAAGGGGTCGTAGTCGTTTTTCCGGAATTAAGCCATTTTCTAGTTTTAAAAAATTATAACAATTTTATATGAAAAGATGGAAGAGTGTTTAGGTGTTAGATGAATTCCACTCGTCGTCCGCTTTCAGAAAATATATAGATTGTTGGGAGACGGATGCAAGAAGTACGTGGTGAAAGGGGGGGGGGGAACATGGTATAATGGAAATTTTCCTTTCTGTACTCAAAAAGCGTCGTTTTAAGGAACTAAAGGAACATGCCCATTATACCATGTTCCCCCCTTTCACCACGTACTTTTTGCATCCGTCTCCCAACAACCTATATATTTTCTGAAAGCGGACGACGAGTGGAATTCATCTAACACCTAAACACTCTTCCATCTTTTCATATAAAATTTTCTAAAGCTAGCAAATGGCTTAATTCCGGAAAATAGACTGCGACCCCTTTCACCCGATAGATAAATCCTCTTTTTTCCTGGCAATCTATATATTTCCTGAAAGCGGACGACGAGAGGAATTCAATAGAGTGCAGAAAACTCTTCCAGCTTTTCGTATAGTAGAGATATGAATTTTTTAAAAAAAAATTTTGTTAATCTTAGAAAAACAAATATGATCACCTTCACCTTACAGGAAAATCCTTTGTATCCTGGCAAACTATATATTTTCTGAAAGCTCTCAACAAGAGTAATTCAAAGTATGGTTAGAGACTCTCCTATCTTCTTATATGAAAAAGTTACCATTTTTTATAGAAAAATTCTACAATTTTGAAACAATGACTAAAACTGTCTCTTCCTGGCAGGCTTAGGCTTAGGCTTAGGCTTAGGCTTAGGCTTAGGCTTAGGCTTAGGCTTAGGCTTAGGCTTAGGCTTAGGCTTAGGCTTAGGCTTAGGCTTAGGCTTAGGCTTAGGCTTAGGCTTAGGCTTAGGCTTAGGCTTAGGCTTAGGCTTAGGCTTAGGCTTAGGCTTAGGCTTAGGCTTAGGCTTAGGCTTAGGCTTAGGCTTAGGCTTAGGCTTAGGCTTAGGCTTAGGCTTAGGCTTAGGCTTAGGCTTAGGCTTAGGCTTAGGCTTAGGCTTAGGCTTAGGCTTAGGCTTAGGCTTAGGCTTAGGCTTAGGCTTAGGCTTAGGCTTAGGCTTAGGCTTAGGCTTAGGCTTAGGCTTAGGCTTAGGCTTAGGCTTAGGCTTAGGCTTAGGCTTAGGCTTAGGCTTAGGCTTAGGCTTAGGCTTAGGCTTAGGCTTAGGCTTAGGCTTAGGCTTAGGCTTAGGCTTAGGCTTAGGCTTAGGCTTAGGCTTAGGCTTAGGCTTAGGCTTAGGCTTAGGCTTAGGCTTAGGCTTAGGCTTAGGCTTAGGCTTAGGCTTAGGCTTAGGCTTAGGCTTAGGCTTAGGCTTAGGCTTAGGCTTAGGCTTAGGCTTAGGCTTAGGCTTAGGCTTAGGCTTAGGCTTAGGCTTAGGCTTAGGCTTAGGCTTAGGCTTAGGCTTAGGCTTAGGCTTAGGCTTAGGCTTAGGCTTAGGC